AGAGAGGGAAAGAGGGATAGAGAGAGAGAGAGAGAGAGAGAGAGAGAGAGAGAGAGAGAGAGAGAGAGAGAGAGAGAGAGAGAGAGAGAGAGAGAGAGAGAGAGAGAGAGAGAGAAGCAGCTGATCGTGAGAACATGAGAGAGGTGGCCCGCCCTCGCCACCCTCACGTTGATGAAGAGACCACACCCCCTATCACAGCCCCAGGCGACACAGTGCTACAATGGGCCATATCTCCAGCAGCAGCAGCAGCAGCCCCTCCAGCTGCTACCTCCACCACCACTCCCGTGACGAGGGGAAGCTGGTCGAAGTAGCAAAAAGGAGCTACTGACACACATACAAGACACTCAGAGCCTGGTGCAAGTGGTGCAGCGGACTATTCCAGAGGACCCAGGCACGAGGGGACTGGGTCCTCTGGAATAGTGGGGCGCGGGAAATGCTGGACACAGGCACAGAAGCTAAACACACACTGAGAACCCTTCCACCCCCGACGGCACTGCTGCCTAAGAAAGCTGCATAAGCCGACAGTTTGGTGTCCTCGCACTACGTGGGAGGACACCAAACTACCGTCATTATTGTGCAGGAGCTTGGCTTCAGTGATAGTCACTGACCCCAAGCTGTAGTGGCTATCACAAGTATTCTTCCCCTCGTGTCGAAGGCAAGCGAGGCCTCTGTACGTGGGTAGGTAATAGTGTACCAACTCACACTATTGATGACCTTCTCATTCGGGGATGAATATGAGTTATGAGGGCTAAGCCTCCACTTGAACAATGCCCTGCTCATAATCTCTTACGTGAATCAGAACAAACTTGGTGTTGACAAATTACGTAAATTTGTTAATGACCCACTTTTCTTGTGGGCGAGCTTCATGTTAAACCCCCACACTGTGGCGGGGACTGTAGTCAACCACCGTCAGTGGAAGAAAACTCTCACTGTGTGTTGAAGAGTGTGATAATATTAGAGTACCGTGTCTGGACAACCACTCCATCTCAGAGGCGCCAGATGAGACTAGGTACCTATGCTAAATGCTCAGGATAGGGATGCATGCACATATTGCTCACAGTATAGTACAATATGTGTACTATGTTGTGCACATTATAGTACGCGCAACACTGTTCATATTCGTCGACTTGAGTAAGAGACAGAGAAACACAAGTGAAAGAAGAAGGGTGTTGCTCAGAGGTGTTTCTGACTTTATTAAGGCGTTACTTTATTAAGAAGATTATTAAGAAACTAGATTGTTTATTAAGAAACTTTATTAAGAAATTTTTACTTTACTTTATTATTTTTACTTTATTGAGAAACTTAAGAAATTAAGAATCATCAGGAAAGAACATATCGTAACCACGTAACTGAGGAAAGATGGCCAGAAGAGCGTCAGTGAGTCTGTATGCTGGTACAGTGGAGTTGCCGCATATAATCTAAATTACTATGGACGAAATGGAGGTGCCCGAGGGAGAGAATCTATATTATCAAGAATTCGGCTTGAATACAAGTATCCATGTCCCGTCAAGTGAGAACGGTCACGGAATACATACACATAGTGTCACGGGTGTTGAGAATGGGTCAGAAGCTTATACGGACCTGCCCACGCCCTCTTCCCTCCTGCCCACGCCCCCTCCCTCCTGCCCACGCCCTCCTCCCTCCTGCCCACGTCCTCCTCCCTCCTGCCCACGCCCCCTCCCTCCTGCCCACGCCCTCCCTCCTGCCCACGCCCTCCTCCCTCCTGCCCACGCCCTCCTCCCTCCTGCCCACGCCCTCCTCCCTCCTGCCCACGCCCTCTTCCCTCCTGCCCACGCCCCCTCCCTCCTGCCCACGCCCTCCTCCCTCCTGCCCACGCCCCCTCCTCCCTCCTGCCCACGCCCTCCTCCCTCCTGCCCATGCCCCCTCCCTCCTGCCCACGCCCTCCTCCCTCCTGCCCACGCCCTCCTCCCTCCTGCCCACGCCCCCTCCCTCCTGCCCACGCCCTCCTCCCTCCTGCCCACGCCCTCCTCCCTCCTGCCCACGTCCCCTCCCTCCTGCCCACGCCCTCCTCCCTCCTGCCCACACCCCAATAAAGACTTGCTCACACTGGCCCACTTTGCCCCACTGCCCACCGACCTGTCATCAAGTTCATGAATTGTCCTCTTCCTGTGCCCTCGAAACCCCTCACCCGACTCTCACTGGCTCTCACCCACTCTCCAACGCCTCTCCCAAGCCCTCCGCTCTCCTCACCAACTGACAAATGGTAACGCGCCCACGTCAACTCTACACCCTTGACGTCAACTCTACACCTCACCACGCCTCAACTCCACCATGTCAACTGTGCAACCACTATGTCAACTCTACAACCTCTGCATTAACTCCATAGACAATATATCTCCTCTATAACAATATGTCACCTCTGTAGCAATTATTATACTACAGCAATATAATAATAATAATGATGATAATAATAATAATCATCATTATTATTATTATTATTATTATTATTATTATTATTATTATTATTATTGAAGCAATTTGCTATCCTGGCGGATTAGTCTCCGTATGAAGAGTCAAAGTCAGTGCCAGAGTCCAACTTTTGACTGATTTAGCTGTATCTCTTGATTGTACAGTAAAGTATAGTTAAGAGGCACTAACAACAGGATCCTGGAGACAATTATCTATGGCTGCTAACCTTTCATATCCCAGCACACACCTGCACGATGGTGCTATGACATGCTCGTATCCCAGCACACACCTGCACGATGGTGCTATGACACGAAGTCCAACCAATAAAAGTCAACCTGTGAATTAGTGTCTCCTGTCAGGATAACAGAGCAGTGTTCATTCACAATGGAGACACAGTCCCTGCCACTCTCCCGTAGTCCCGGAGCCATGTGGTGCGGGGTGGCCCCGAGAGACCGCGAGGGGTGACGAGGTTTCCCGCCGGACCAGGCATCACCGGAAGAAGACGTCCAAGAGCTCAAGAAATGCTCCCCACGGTCTCTGATGCTCGTTCTTGTCTCCCACTGTTACCGACCCGAGTCCAGCGTCGGAGTATGGAGCAGTGACGACAACGCCATCTGTGAGTCCGCTCCCGAAACCCCCTCCAAATGGACAACGCCATCTAGTGAGTACGGGATATACCGGCCACAGGGGCTGGTTTCCCGTCTTAATCAGCTCGTAACATAGCCGCTGCTGACCTCTGGTGAGGTGGCGCTTAGACAGCAACGCCATCTATGGAGCAGAGAGGTGGACGTTTGTGTCTAAGCCTGTAAGTGAGGTGCCCTAGAGCGTCCCCAGTACTAATGACGTGTCTGATTACAGAGTCGACCTGGGACTGCTGTATTGGACGATGGATGAGTCTACCCAAGGCAGCCAAGGTCTCTTCACGAGTTTGCTCTGAAGAAGCTGTGAGTCACCCCCGGACGAACTCTGCTGAGAGTGTTAGCCTGCCTGTGACGTGGCAGTATCAGGAATCGCCTTATCCGGGGCTGGCTGGTGGAAGAGACTAGCCACTGTGGTGCTTAGAGAGGAGGGTGATCAGCGGGATCACACGAGGCTCCTGCCTAGGGCTCGCAACCCTAGTATCGGTCGTGGAGTGGCCTATACAGCGGAGCTGATCGGAACCTGCCAGCTACAGGCTGGATTGTGGTTGAAGGCCTCCACGACAGAGCACCCAGTGGGACTGTGATTTGGCTGGCCTGTGGCCAGGGTAGATTCGCCGAGAGAATCATAGAGGATTCATCATGGGCCACGCAGGAAGGAACCAGGGCTACCCAAATTGTGCACCGTGGAGCATCCTGTGTCTTCGGAGGAAGACAAGTCATTGTACATAATCGTGTATGATAAACCCCGTGTGCAACTGTTATATATTTATTTATGGTGGTGGTGAAAATATATATATAAATCAGAGCATTTGTATCCCTCCCCCTTTAATTTAACTTGCGTTACGGAACACATCCCTTGAAAGCCTCTACTAACTTGGGGCCGGATTCCCAAATTCTAATAACACCAGAAAAGAACCCGGTTGCGTCCCAGTAGGGCCGTAACACCCACGAGGATGAAATGCTGACGCTGGTCCTGATGTGGGAGCCTATCAAGTTGTTTTCTGAGAAATAATATTAGATCATTGAGAACGGGGCGTGCCCGTGTGGTGCTGCGGACACCGTCAGATTCTGAGCTCTTCGGTCCCTTTACTGTCTTAACTGTTTCGTTTAGACTTACTTGGTACAGTGCATTAAGAAAGGTCTAATCAGCTGCTATTATGTCAGATTTATTGGTTGTTACATAGTACGTGTAAGACAATAATAGCTGTAGTCATATTTGTATACTTCGCAATTAGAAAAAATACTTACTTTCCAGGGGCCAATTTTTTGTTTACATGTTATTATCATACACAATGGAGAGGTTGTCAGCTGCTTTGTTGTTGTTGTTTACAGCCTGGCACCCGCGGGAGGATTAATGGGGCCATCACAATACCTTACTGGCCAATCAGCAAGTCTGCTTGAGTCTTGAACATTGTGCAGAACTGAAGTGAACCCTCAGTATATGCTCAGAGAAGCGAGGTATACTTCAGTGTATATATCCCTCTAGAGCTGTCTGTGTCTTCGTACTGCTTCACATTATTATACAGCTGGTATCAGCGCCCGGGCTCCCCCCCCCCACACACACCAGCACTACCCAACCGCCGCCAGCTTCCCGCAATACCCGCTAGAGGGCAGCATTGACTCTTGACTATTGGTGTGTTTGGTGTCAACTTATTTAGAAACTTTTGAATGATTTCTTTATCCAGTGCACCGTGTTAAATCGAGTCGAATCCAAGACCCTAGGGCAGGTAAGCAAGGGATGGAAGGCTGGAGCGAGGATGAAGAAAACTTAAGCAGGGAACAAGGTACAAGTGGAAGGAGGGTGGCACAGCTCGGTGACCCAACCACCGCGGGTTTGACATGTCAGTGATGCTGTACGGAGTTTTCGTTGTCCATATACATCCCTCGGCGTCGCTCAGGGGCTCGGTTCCTAGGCAGCTGGCAGCTGGTGGTTGTTGTTGGTGTAACCTCAATCTTGGGTCTTCGTTCGTCGGTCTTCTGACTTCAGAGCTCTTCTTACTACTTTCTTCTGACATTTTCCGTCAAGCTTGGGTCGTTGGTTTTCTTGGGCTTCGTTGGTAGTCTTACTTTTTGTTGACATTGTCAGTGTTGTCGTTCTAGGCTGTGGGTGTGGTGGCCAGAAGGAAATCTTCAGGTCTGTAGTTGCACTTCCGTTGAGGAGGGGATGGTGCTCCAACTGGGACATCTTCGTCTGAGGAATCGCTTGAGGCGAAGGCAGAGGTGGTGGTCCTTGGAGGTTGAGTAGTAGCCGGTCGTGCAGCTAGAGTAGAAGGTTCAGTGGGCGTGTACAGGGTCTGTGGCGCGATGGTAGTAAATGGTTCTGAAGGAGGCACGGCGGCAGTGTGCAGCTGCAGGGATGGTGGGTGAGTGGGACCGCAGCAGATGTCGTCGGATGTGAAGGCGTCGGTTCCTGGGCAGCTTCCTGCACTGTAGCTGCTGGAACGGGTATTTCAGCAGTGGAGAATAGATCTGTGAGCGCGGCAGCGTTCACAATGATGTCTGAGTCAGAGGCCTGAGTAGAATTCGTATCTGGAATAGTGATGGTGTAGACTTCCTCGGGTACGGTGAAAGTCGGGAAGTCGGCAGCGTAATGATCAGAAGCCTCACATATTCCTGGTAGTTGTGGCCAGCAATCTTGTCTGCCACCGTAGTTAGAGCGTACACCGTACTGTGCAGTGAGTAAGGAGCCGGTATGTGCTGTAGCGACGGCTGGGTCGGTGAGTGGCTGGTGGACTGGGAGCTGGGCCCTCATTGGCTGGACTGCTGCGCTGTAGCTCTTCCTTCATAAGGGGTCTTCCTGGGGGGGGGGGGGTGTAACAAAAAGGAAGCCTAGTCGAGGACCGGGCTGCGGGGACGCTAAGCCCCGAAATCATCTGAAGATAACCATCTCAAGATAACCTCTCAGGAGCCCTAGGAAAGTGGCGACTTGAATGTTGAATGAGGGTGGTGCTCGTCGCGAGGCGGTGGTTGTGGAGGAGGCAAGGCGCATCCTGTCTTCAATTTTCCGAATTTCTTCCTTTCAACGCGGGCAGCGATTGGAGACGAGACAACGTTGGACTTAAGCCTTTCAGTAGGTGTAGTGGCGGTCTTCCCTGCAGATGCTGCACTTTGTGACGCTCTCCGGGCATTTGTTGGTACTCAGTGTGTGTACTGGTAGCACTTTAGGCACTGTTCTAGACCGTAGCAGCGTTCCTTCTTGATCATGGCGGGTGGAACCTTGACTCTGAAGCATCTGAGCCCTTGTGTGACAACAAGGTCCACGTGGGTGATGGCGGAGGTCAGTTTCATGGTCGCGAGTGATCCGGAGGTGCGGCCGAGGATATCGAGATTGGTTGGTTTCACTGAAGGGTTCTCAGCTTCGATTGCATCCACAATAGCTTTTAGGTCGCGGTCGGAGATCCCATCGCTGGTTCTCTTGATCAAGACGGATCTCTCGGCAAGGAACCGTTGAGAGAAAATCAGGCTGATGTGCGCTTTTTCAAGGTCGGTGCGGGTATGAAGTTTTTCGAAGTGGTGGATGTTATCCTCTGGTGAGTAGAAGAGAACAACATCCGCCCCTCCTGGTGGCAGTGGACGGGTGTGACGTTGGTGACGGTGGAGAGAGTTTTCAGTAGTTCACTCTTGGTGAACACTTGGTTGTTTAGTTAATGGTGCAGGAATATTTGGTTGTTATATTCTGGGAACATTTGCGCACTAACTTGGTGACTATTTATGTACCATACTTTTTAAAACCTTTGTGTAAAATTAAGGCAGCAGGTGTGTACATACATGTTACTTTAGCTGGGAGATTCATTGTTCTTGTGGAACTGTGAATGAACTCCAGCGTTGATGAGTTTCAAAACGACACACGAGCTCACCTTTTCTCAAACTCCTCCCTCTATTCTCCTCCTCTCTTCCCTCTCCTCTCTCTCACCCATCAGGTATAATCTTTGCTATATATATAAGACTCAGTCGAAGTCATCTCTCCAACAGTCCCCGCTCTGTGCCAGGTAAGTCCACTACTACCGGCTCACCATAGCCCGTGCTAATTGGAACTTTTTGTTCCCAGTAACTGAATCTAAAACAACAACAACAACAACATCTATCCACAGCCCATCTGAGATATTGATACTTGGATTACAAATACGGAGAAGCGGGGTATACTCACCGAGAGGTATACCCCGCTTCTCTGGGTAAACTGAGTCTTCTCTTGAGATTATCTTGAGATGATTTCAGGGCTTTAGTGTCCCCGCGGCCCGGTCCTCGACCAGGCCTCCACCCCCAGGAAGCAGCCCGTGACAGCTGACTAACACCCAGGTACCTATTTTACTGCTAGGTAACAGGGGGCATCAGGGTGAAAGAAACTCTGCCCATTGTTTCTCGCCGGCGCCCGGCATCGAACCCGAGACCACAGGATCACGCGTCCAGTGTTCTGTCCGCTCAGCCGCCGGCTCCGAAGAAAGTTATCTTGGACAGTGTTCAAGATTCAAGTAGATTTGCGGATTGGTTAGTAAACTGTTGTGGTGGTCTTAATACCCCCCACGGGGTTGTTAGGCTTAAAGACTAATAAACCTAAAATATATCCATAGCAGTGTAGTAGGTCGTTTTGTGGCCGGTGTGGCCCTCATCTGGCCGGGTGGCCAGGCACTCTAACACGTAGTATTGTGGCCGGTGTGGCCCTCATCTGGTGTAGTTACTGTGATCAACGCAGTAACAGCTGACACTAGTAATGAACGTGCTATATCAGCGAAACTGGAGGGCACACAGGAGCCTGGACACTGGGTGAGCCACAGGGATGTGCGGACACACTTCATCAGTGTCAGGCCAGTAAACAAGGGAAGCCAACCGGACGGTGAAACAGTAGAGACGACATCCATCCGTAGTTTCAAAACCAGATATCAAACGAAACTCGAGGAGCCAGGGAGACATTGAATTAGACGAGCGACATTCAGGGGCCCAGCAGATGAAACTAAGCCCTGCAAACTTAGTATATATCACCCCAGTGATATTAGGTAAGTAAACACAGCCACACACACACACCGATATATATTTATTAAAATCAATCAGCCTTAGTGTCCCTAAATATGTTTGAAAGATGAAATAATCCCACCAATTATCAGCAGTCACCTGTAGGCTCTCCCAGTTCCGCTAACATGGGGGTTCAACACTGTGGAGGCTAATGTCTGCTAAATATAGCTGAACTAATGAATCTGAGCTTATGCCATAAACACCATGTAAATATTGCCCAATTAAGACCTAGCCAGGTCAAGCCCTCGACGCGATATTGGACCATCACAATGTTAATAATTGTGTGTGTGTGTGTGTGTGTGTGTGTGTGTGTGTGTGTGTGTGTGTGTGTGTGTGAGTGAGTGAGTGAGTGTGTGTGTGTGTGTGTGTGTGTGTGTGTGTGTGTGTGTGTGTGTGTGTGTGTGTGTGTGTGTGTGTGTGTGAGTGTGTGTGTGTGTGTGTGTGTGTGTGTGTGTGTGTGTGTGTGTGAGTGAGTGAGTGTGTGTGTGTGTGTGTGTGTGTGTGTGTGTGTGTGTGTGTGTGAGTGTGTGTGTGTGTGTGTGTGTGTTGTGTGTGTGTGTGTGTGTGTGTGTGTGTGTGAGTGTGTGTGTGTGTGTGTGTGTGTGTGTGTGTGTGTGTGTGTGTGTGTGTGTGTGTGTGTGTGTGTGTGTGTGTGTGTGTGTGTGTGTGTGCGTGTGTGTGTGTGTGTGTGTGTTTTCGCCCGCTGGTTGAGCCATTTATGGGGGTGTTTAGTACGTATGTTTGCCAGGATAACTCTTAGAGTTTCGTGTTGATAGTCTTCTGTTGCACAGAACAAAACTGCCTGAACACCACTGCAGTTGCATCATATAATTACCTCCACGGGTCGGTTATATCTCTAGCAAAGCTCATAGACCCGAAGAAAACGGGAATAGTTTTCATTAATTTGAATGATTCCTGTTTTCTAACTGATAATTGTTGGAAATATTCACGAAAGTTATACAAATGATATTAATTCAATCTTCGTGATATAAAATAATAAATTTGTACTTGAGAAATCGCAATTCAGAAGAACAAATCCCAGGATAATGGTATCAATATGAAACTGATGGTAAACCTGATATTTGACGTCGGTCTGTTGTCCCAGGCCTGATATTTGACGTCGGTCTGTTGTCCCAGGCCTGATATTTGACGTCGGTCTGTTGTCCCAGACCTGATATTTGACGTCGGTCTGTTGTCCCAGACCTGATATTTGACGTCGGTCTGTTGTCCCAGGCCTGATATTTGACGTCGGTCTGTTGTCCCAGGCCTGATATTTGACGTCGGTCTGTTGTCCCAGGCCTGATATTTGGCGTCGATCTGTTGTCCCAGACCTGATATTTGGCGTCGGTCTGTTGTCCCAGGCCTGATATTTGGCGTCGGTCTGTTGTTCCAGGCCTGATATTTGGCGTCGGTCTGTTGTCCCAGGCCTGATATTTGTCGTCGATCCGTTGTCCCAGGCCTGATATTTGGCGTCGGTCTGTTGTCCCAGGCCTGATATTTGGCGTCGGTCTGTTGTCCCGGGCCTGATATTTTAGGTCTTGAGAGCGTAGTAAGGTCTTCTCTCGCTACTAACATTACACAAGATTAATTATGTCCGGTCAGTTTAATTTGACCTAGACCAGGATTCATCAGGCATTTAGGTAACCATTTACGAAACCTGTGCATCTTCCCCTCAGCTATGGCGACTTTGTTTACATTTATTAAAAAGGTTTATGAGCTGGGAAGCACTATAGGAGGTTGTTTATAAGTCTAATAACCTTGGAGGGGGGGGGGTTGTAATGTTTCCAAGCTCGTAAACTGTTTAATAAATGTAAACACAGCCGCTATGATTGAGGGGAGATGCACAGGTTTCGTAAGGGGTTTACCTGAATGCTTGATGAGTACTGGTACAGGTGCGCTTATTCAGATATGGTTTACGTTATGTGAGGAAGTGTAGCTGAGCCCAGCATGGTGCTCGTCAAGTCTGGTCAAGCAAACTGTGGTGCCTCTCACTGTGTTCACTGTACCA